TGTGTGAAAAGAACACAAACATCTCTCCCATAGGCCTGAGAACAAACACTGCAGGCAGCCACATGAGGGGGAAGCTCCCACATCAATGAAGGATTCATCAGGTACATTTCTTCCTGGGAAAAAGAATGAGTTCAAAAGAAGAGCGAGGATCTAACAGGACTATAAATACTCAGGCTGTCACCTGTGCATTTTGCAGAGTCATTAAACCCCAACCCTTGGGCAGCAAGAAGACGCTACTGCAATTCACAGACAGAGAATTGCCCAACTCCCTCCCTCCCTGACTCTCTGCCTCCTTGCTGCTGCACTGTGGTTGCTTCAGACGAGACAGAAAATAATTCAGGTTAACCTAGTCGGACAGAGCAAGCTGCTAACCTCTCTATTTGAGCGCTCTGGGAGATGTATGTGGTTCATCTCTTTTAAACCTCAAACAAGTACCATCGCGTCCCCATTGCACAGAGGTGAAAGCTGAGGCCAAGGCTGACACACGGTCACGCTGCTAGAGTTTCCTTCTAAGGGCGGCCGCTAGCCGCTCTGCATGCATTTAAGTAAGTGCAATTCGGGGTTGGTTGTAAAGGCAGCGTCACCAACGAGGACAGCCCAGGGGAGGAGGCAAGCATTTTAAACCCTGTACGATAAGTGAGCCCACAGTCTTTCAGAGCAAAGGGTCTGTCTGCAAGGCAGAAAATCACTCTCAATGTATGTTTGGTGAGTTTCATTTACCTACAGAAACAATAGACTTGCTGTAAGTGAAACCGCCTGGTGATGACTTTTGCTTGGAACATTTGTAACAGACGTTGAATCCACTGCGCTGAGGAAAGATTTTTAAAGCCATTCAACTCTCCCTGGGCGAGGGAACAAACGTTTTCTTCCCCAGGGCCGAAAACATCAGCTTGTCCCTCCCTACAAACAGCAGTGGGAGACCAGGCCAGATGAGCAGGAGGGAGACAGAGAGACTCCTATGTCCCCAAGGAAGACGCAAACCAGGGTCAGGAGAGGAACGTGCAGTTCGGTTTGGAGAGGGAGGCAGAACCAGGAGGCTGCTCATGTGCTCCGTGGCTAAATTTTCTTCAACTTTGGGGATCTGCGAAATGGAACTTTTTAAAAAGATTAACCATGTAGAGGGAGTATATGGTCACTGCAGAAAGTTTAGAGACAGCAGGGAAATATAAAGAAAGAAAAAAGTCATATATAAACCCCCCTCTGCCTGGAGATGGCTGCTGTTACCACATTGGTTTGTATTTCATCAATTTTCCAGCCATCTTACAGACACTATTACTACTACTAGTGGCTATTGTTTTGGGTCTTTTGTGTGGGACACTGTTCTAAGTGCTTTACATCTATCAGTTCACATGTATAGCTACTATTGTTCCCATTTTATAGCACGTGAAACCAAGGCAAAGACAGGGGTAGGGCCACCCACGTGCCTCTAGCTGGTACACAGTGGGGCCCCGGCGGGGACTCAGGAAGTCTGACCCCCGAGCCCATGGTTTATACTGCTGCCATGAAATGCCCCTCCACATTTTCCTTTCCCCCCAGTTTTATTGAGATATAATTGATGTATAACATTGTATACATTTCAGGTGTGCAACATAATGATTTGATATTTGTATATATTGCAAAACGATCGCCACACTAGTTTAGTTGACATCCATCACTTCCCATAGTTGCCATTTTTTTCCTATGATGAGAACATTTAAGATCTATTCTCTTAGCAGCTTTCACATATATGATACAGTATTGTTAACTACCATCGCCACGCTGCACATTACATCCCAGGACTTATTGTCTTGTAACTGGGACTTTATACTTTCACCCATCTCTCCCTCTCTGTTTTCCGCCACCCACACTTTGCCAGCAGGAATCTGAAATCACTGGAGGCTTGGGGATGACAGAAGAGAGTTCAGAAATTGGGCAGAAAAGCCTTGAGGAGCAGCTACTATATCAGCCCAATGTCCAGCTTACCTTCCGGCAGCGGCAGCGCCTGTGACGGGCTCTTCTCTTCCAAGATTGGCCCCAGAGCCTCTGAGACCCCAAACAGGAGAAAGAGGCTTCCTAAAAGGAGTTATAACCCACCATCCCTACAAGAGCTGCAGCTCTGACTGACTTAGCTGAGTACGTTTTCCTCCATGGCAGTGCAGCTTCTCCGAGGCCAATCTTCCCTGTTCCAAGAGGCCCTGGGAAATGTTCCTCCCCAGAAGAGGCAGCGGCCTTGAGGCCAAGTTACACCCTGCACCTGAGAAACAGGAACTGCTCGTTCCTTCAAAATGGCAGCTCCCCCGATCCCCCAAAATGGACATGAGGTCCCAGCTCAGCCAGAGCACCGGAGAGTCCACCAAATGGGGCCTTGGAATGTTACACCCCATTGTTTCGCTCATCAGTATACCAAGAACATATGGTGCCAGAAAAGATTCTTTTATATCCTGATTTTTCATGGTTATGCTGGATTCCACCATATGGATATAGCAATGTATACCAAAGCAAATCTGTTGGACATTTCATTGTTTTATTGTTGGACGTTATTATGTTTTAAAGCTATAACAAACAACTATGTAGCCAAAACACAGCACACTGTTTATTTCCTTAGAGAAATTCTTACAAGTGGAATTACTGGGTCAGAGGGGACACACGGTTTTAAGGCTTTTGATGGAAACTCCCAAACTTCCTCCTATAGAAGCGTTCAGGATATTCTCCCCACCAGCCCTTGTGAGAATAAATGACACAACATTTAATAAATTTAAATCGGCTATCACTGAAAAGACACTGTTGAGTGAGCAGTTGAATTGAATCTGTTAGGAATAAAAAGCTCCTTTTGTTCATTCCACCAGCAGATGGCACTCCTTGCTAAGACTTTAGAGTTGTGGATTTCATGTATGGAGATTTAGGACTTTATTCAACTGGCATTAGGGAAGTCTGAGATACATATTCACCAAAGCAAATTTGCAGGAGGAAACCTAGGACGTTATCATATGGAAACCAAACCACAGTGGTGGGATAACAGTGGGATCTTGAAAACACTCCGGAGATGTTGTCACCCTTCCAACTATTAAGGTCCCCCTGCAGCTTCTCAAGAGCCCTGCAGGGGAGGCACCAACACTCCGTGTGCACCTCTGCCTCCCTTGTTAATTCTCACCCCAGGAAAGCTGGACTAGACCAGCCTGGTTCCTTCTCACTGGCTGTCCGGGCCCTTGTAGTGCCATCGGCTTATCACGATTTTCATTTTACGTTTCCATGTGCGATTATTGATCGCCTCTCTCTGTCGATGAAGGAGGCACTCACTGTTGTGTGCCTGGAGCCCAGTGCAGTGGCTAGCAGAGGGGACAGATCTGCAGGTGTTTGCAGCCAGAATCCAGGTAGAGGTGCTGGGGACCTTGCCTTAGAGCTTTGCCACATGATCGCCTTTCTCGCGAAATCAAAATCTGTCACGTCTTAGCTGCTGTGAATGACAGAAACAGAAACAGTCTACATGGAAATAAATCACAAGAAGGGTGGCAGAATGATGAAAAGTACCTGTAGGTTCAGGGGTCGGCAGAAGGATAGGGTTCCAGGCCGCTTACTGGTCAGACAAGTTATATCACTCTGCTAAGCCTCAGCTTCCTCATCTATAACGAGGCTCTAATAAGGGCACCTCCTCTATTTCATAAGAATTTGCATACGGGGCGTCAGCACAATGGCTGGAGCCTAAACAGGGCTCCATAAGTTTCTTCTGCCCCCGGCAGTCTCGTTTCCCGCCAAGCGGCAAGCGGCACACTCTGAAAGGGCAGCGGGAAGCACCAGAGCGGAGAGACCGTTTCCTATTCTCCCTAAACCACCGATTTCGACAACATCCTGCAAGTTAATACTTGTGTGAACTTTCGGCTGCTGAGATTTCAGTCGGTTCTAACACTGCAGATGGCTGCCTGGCACGCTGGGTGGGGTTTGATGGGGGCGAGGAAGGTCCAGAAAGACCTGCCTTGGCTAACTGACCCCCGGAGACGGGTCTTGAAGTTCTCTCCCTTTTCACATGTCAGTTTACTCAGCAAGTGTTTCAGATTCTTTCCTGCGTCCAGGCCCGGATGGCTGGCCATCCTGCACTCCGTCTTCTGACTTCTGACCACTAGCCACCACGTGGCCCTTCTTACCTAAGGTGCCTCTGGCATTCTTCACCAACAAAGGCTGAGTTCTTTCGCCGTGCAGCCTGCCTCTGAACTCTCAAGCTACACTTGGGGCGGAGTTCTCAGGGCACTGCTTCCGAGAATCCCCAATTTTGTCCATTTAACTGAGCTTACGCACATTCCTGGTTTCCCAAAGCCTGTGTCACTGCTTCTCAAAGCTGTGTGCCCCTGAAGGCTGCTCTTTGGCACGGAGATTTCCCTTGGGATAAAATGGGAATTTCTGAGCCCAGGAATGAGTTCAGAATGTGGCCTCCGGGTTCCCCTCTTCTCTGAGCTCCCACTCACTCAGCCCTGTGATTCCTACGCCAGGCCCAAGCTGGACCACGAGCTTCCCCCAGGAGGAGCGGTTCTGATTATCTTCATAACTCCCGGGTAGCGGGGATGAGCGGACTACGGGGTTCTCTACCAACTCAGCCCATCGGGGACGCACGCCTGCCCCCCACCAGACCTGGGCGCCCTCCAAGGGGCAGGCAGACCTTTTCTGAGCCCCAAGATCACCCCAAATCCCACGCTTCCTGCGCTGTGGCCCCAGGCCGGCCTTGCTGCACCGTCGGCTCCCAGCCTGGCTGGGGGGATGCCCCGACGACCGGGTCCCGTTCGGGCCCCCACCGGCGACGTTACGGACCACCGCGGGAGGACGGCCGGGACCACGCGGGGGCACGCAGAGAGCTCCACGTGTGGGCAGGCGGGGCGGGGAGGGCGGGGCCCGGCAGTGACGGCGGGGGCGGGGCCTGAGGGCGGGGCCTGGAGGCGGAGGCGGGGCAGGGCCTGTAAAAGGCGGCGCTGCCGGTGCTCAGCGTGTAGCAGAGGGTGCAGGCCCGGCGGGGCCAGCGGTTCGTTTGTGGTCGGCCGCGCGCTTCGTGTCCCGGCTTTGCCCAGGCGGCGGCGGGACAGCATGGCAGGCGCCGGCCCGAAGCGGCGCGGGGCCCCAGCGGCGGCCAAGGAGGAGGAGGAGCAGGCACGGGAGCGGATGCTGGCGGCGGGGGGCGAGGGCGTGACCCTGCAGCGGAGCATCACCCTGGTCAACGGCGTGGCGATAATAGTAGGGACGATTATCGGTTCGGGCATTTTCGTGACCCCCACGGGCGTGCTCAAGGAGGCGGGCTCGCCGGGACTGGCTCTAGTCGTGTGGACCGTGTGCGGCATCTTCTCCATCGTGGGGGCCCTCTGCTACGCAGAACTTGGCACCACCATTTCCAAGTCGGGGGGCGACTACGCATACATGCTCGAGGTCTACGGCTCGCTGCCCGCCTTCCTTAAGCTATGGATTGAGCTTCTTATCATCCGACCCTCCTCTCAGTACATAGTAGCATTCGTCTTCGCCACCTACCTGCTCAAGCCGCTCTTCCCCACCTGCCCGGTGCCGGAAGTGGCCACCAAGCTTGTGGCCTGCCTCTGCGTGCGTAAGTACCAGCCCCGGGCCCCGCCACGCATCCCCCGGACCATCTCCGCAGTTCCAGGGTAGGGTCGTGGGGCCCAGAACCCGCAGTCGTTTCATTCATTCGTGTACACATTCCCTTGGGAATTACCCAGTGAGACAGAGCAGGGTTCCTGCCCTGAGCCTCGGCGAGGCGTTCTACTTCCCACTTCGTCCATTCAGACCGGTTAGAGCTGAGTAATATTCTCTACTTATTGCATGGTCTCCACGTGGAGTCTCTGACAGCTAATTTCCTGTCTGAGCTTGGGAGAGAAATTGTGGCTAAAAAAAATTCATTTCCGTTCTCCAAACTGACCTATGAGGAAATCGGCAGGGGCTGACTCAGACTGTAGTAATAAAATTCTGCGTGGGCAGCGAACCTGCCTCCTTATTGGCCTTTTTGGAGAATCTTAGTGATGTCACAGTGATGTGATGGACCAAAAAAAAACTTTGGTCCAAATCTAGGACTAGTAATAGCAATGATCCATCTGCCCAAGGACAGGCAAACTTGCGGCTTCTGGCGGCTGTGAGATGAGGTTGTTATGGGATGACACGTTGGGCTGAGTGAGGAAAAGCTCCTCTCAAGGCAAGATGACTTGTTGGCTTCTATTGTCATTAAGAGAATTTTAATTGTCCAATTTCCATTATTGCTAGATACGATTTAATGTTTCAGCCGACAATGACACAGATGTTATCTTTAAAGGGCCTGCTCTCTTGTCTTTAAAAATGGATCCCTTACTTTCTTAAGCTTTTGGATTTAAGTAGATAAAGCCTCAGGATGGATGCTAGAGAGGCCCTTGCCAACACTGCCATCGCTGCCGGCCCAGGCAGGGTCTCCTACGTGGGAGTTCTTGTGGTTCAGAAACCCAGCTGTGACCTCAGTGGGTCCTTTATCTCAAGGAAGAAGCTCTTAGAAGAAAGGGTCTGGATGGGCCCACTTCTCCCTCTGCTGAGTCGTGGAAAAGATTTGGAGCCTGTCTGAGTCCCGGTCACTCTTACCCAGGTCGCGTAGGTGTCAGGAGCCTGCCCTCCTCTCTCCCTCTCTCAGTTCGGTGGAGAGTGAGGCCGTGCCTGCTGGGACAGCCACCAGGACTCAGGCTCGCTAGTTACTTGCAGAACTCAGGGTGGTCTGCTGGTGGCCGAGAACGGGACTCTGGGGCTCTGGGTCCCTTTCCAGTGTGGTGGCCCTTCCTGGGGTCTAGAAAGCACTTTCGGCTTTCTCACGGGAGATAGACGGGGTTGCCAAGGCCCTCCTAGGGCGAGGTAGTTCCCCACTGTGCAGATCCGCGTGGGGTGGGGGTGCAGTCGTCCTCAGCTGTCGTTCCTCCGGGGACCCGTGACCTGAGATATTTTCCACCTGGTGTCAGGTAAAGAGCCTGCACTGAGCACATGGACAGACCTGGGTTCTGTTTTGAGAAATTCATTGGGACCTCCGGCCTCGGTGTCTGCGTCTGTGGAATGGGGATTCCTCACAGCCCTCATGGGTGTTTGTGAGGCCTCTAGGCCATGGGGTATTTAATGAGTGTGGCACATGGGGACCGGTCCCGTGATGGCTGTGACTTATTCTCAACACTGCCCTCTGTCTGGTGTTCACCTTTAATTAGCATCTTGAGCTGCCCTGGAATTTGCTCTCTTCTGGTTTAACGAAAAGAAGGAAGGAGAGAGAGTGGAGAGAAGGAAGGGAAAAGCCAGAGGTGAATGCTGGTGTTTCCCTCTCTGGGCTGGGGTCTGAGCTGACGAGGTACCCACCGCACAGGGGTTAGCCCACCGGCTCTGCCTCAGGGACATAGGGGGAGAAGAAATGCAGGCCTGCCCTCAGCTCTTCCCCGGGGTGTTGGGTCAGGAGACCTGCTCCGTGTAGGTAAAAGGCACAGGTAAGGTGTGGGTTTGGCGGCTGTGGGGTGAGCCGTGGCCAGCTGACTTGAGGGTCAGTTGGTCAGTGGGAGTAATGACCGGGAAGTGGAGGGGATGCCATGGCAGCACCCCCTCAGTCTTTTAGCTGCCTGGCTTGTCTCCATCAGCACCTGTGACCCCCCACCCTGGGATGTGGGACCCTCCGTGATGTGTCCACCACTGTATCTCTGAGCCACAAACCAGGCCTGTCACAGCAGGCCTGTGTACAACCCATGCCCAGTTCAGGTGTCTGGACACCTGCCAGCTGCCAGGGCTGGGCCCCTCGCTGTTTGAGGCAAAGGCTTCTGGGTGTTTCCAAGGAGCTGACGACCCCAGAATCTCGAGCCGTGAGCTGAGTGCAGACGACAGCCCTGTAATTAGCACTGAAATCCAACTTTCCCAGCCAGACATGAAAGTGTTCCGGCCGCTGAGCAAGTCACGCCGAGTCACGAGACGGGGGCTGAGGCCTGTCGGGGGTACTTCGCAGAAGCGCGTGACCCCCAGGGAGGCCAGAGGTGCTGGGCGGGCATTTCTAACCCTTTTTCCCTGGGTCACAGACCCTTTTGGTAATCCCATGGAATGTAGAGACTATCTGCCCAGAAATGTGTATCAGGAGCATTCACTCCGAACTGTGTGTCGTCATGGGGTTCTTAGACCCCCTGAGGCTCCAGCCCAGGCTGGGAGCCACCCCCCGCCCCGAGAGTAGTGTCCCCGTCACCGCAGAAACAGATGGGATATTTTCTAGCTGGCACACGCTCATACTCACACCTCTTCTCACATGCTCTCTGCCCCAGCCTTTGAAATCAGTGTTGTCATCCCCCATTTACGGCTAAGGAAACTGAGGCAGAGGTGGGCTGGGAGCCCAGGGCTGTGGCACTGTCTTCCAAGCTGAACCACCTTTTGTCATCAGGCATGTGGGGACACATGGCCACATCTGTGGGGAGGGTGGCAGGTGCCAGGGGTCTGGGGTGATGTTGGTCACCACGTCCAGGTGTCTGGTCAGCCCGGGCAAGGATCACATCTGGACACACAAGGTCCGTTCGTGTCCCAGACTCCTTGGAAAGCACTTCCCCTCATGACTATGGAGAGCCAGACTCCTTACCCGGAGCAGAATAGGAAAGCTTCCGTCTTTCTATTGAAGTCTTCACTTTGCAAACGAGCTTCCAGGGCGAGGTAGGCCAACAGCCATGCTGTTGGTTCCAGCTGCCCAGGGGCCACAGGCCCTGTCTCATGCCCACGCTGGCCTCCAGTTCCTGTCTGCTCTTTCTGTGGCTCATAGCAGGTCCCGGGGACCAAGGGGTCATGTGATTCTGCACCCCCAGTTGGTGTGACCTTCCCAGGCCCCTGTCCGCATTGTTGGCCTGGGGAGATGCGCAGAGCGCACCTGTTCCCACCCCCAGGCTGTGCCCCATCCTGTTTCCATAACGGGACAGCTGCCTAGTCCAGCAGCGTCTTGGCTCTGATGGTCGGGGTCCTATCTATATCCCGGCAGGAGGCCCCCACTCAGCTCTTTCCTTGATCCCGGCAGGCTCCTGAATTCTTGCTGGGGAGGGTGGGCTGTGTGCGTAGAGGGGCTCAGAGTGTGAGAGGTGTCTTCCCCCACACTGCTGTCCATCCAGACCTGCCTCCAGGCAGTGGCGTTTCGCTGGGCCTCAGCCACCCATCCCCTGGTGAGGTTTGCATGTTACGTGAGGAATTAGCACTGACTTCCCTTAGGGATCTTGGAGCATGATTCGTGCTGAGTCACCCTGACCTTCCTTACTGGCTGACATCTGTCACTGCTGAGACCCAATGGTCTGTGAGTCTGCTAAAGTGTAGCCAATACAGAACTGAGGCCACTGCTCAGGTACTCGTCCCACTGTGACCCTGTGGCCAGCCCAGCATTTTGTCCCTGTCTGTGTGAGCTGCCCAAGGCTGGCACGGGATTCAGCCCTCGGCAGGCACATGGGCTGCCAGGCTGTGTCTTCACCTGGTACTCGTCTAGAGGACACTTTCAGCCTGAGTCAGCTAAAGGCCCAGGCCGCTGCAGAAGGCCTGAGAGGGCCCTGACTCTGTCCCTCCAGCTCTGTGAGTTCCTCGGGCTGTGTGACGTGGGCCCCAGTGCTTGGCTTCTCTGGGCCTGTGTTTCAGAGTGCAGAGCAGGTGGCAGTGGGCGGGTTGTGCCTGCAGAGGGTGTGTGAGTCAGCCATCCCATCACGGAAGGGGTCGAGTGTCAGAGGGACTGTCCAGGAATCAAACATGACAGAGCAGGTGTCAAGGGGAATGGTAGACGGGCCGGGCACCAGGAGCTATGGCCCCACCAAGTGTGGGAGCGAGGTGATGGGTGGAGGTAGGGCCTGGCTGGAGCCCCCGCTGGTCGGTCTGGGTGCCCTTCGCTGTTGCACGCGTGTGTCACATGCCCTGGGGTCTTCCTTCAGAACCCCTCAGAGCTGAGCGAAAGGACCAGGGGTGGGTGTGGGGTGAGGGAGGCCAGTGGGGCAGTGGGTGATAAGGTTTTCCCCAAGGCCCGCCTGTTCTGGGGGCCTGTTCCTGGCTTGGGGTGAGGGGCCAAGGTCAGGGGTCTGGGGAAAGAGAGAGGCCGACCCAGAGTTTGGCTAACAAGCATCTTGTTCCAATGGGTTGGTGGGGTCGAGCAGTCAGCCCATCATTGCTGAGGCACAGAAGGAATCTGAGGGTCTGAGTCCGGCCTTGTCACAGGCGGACAGGGCATCGTGAGTGTCCTCTAGTCGTGTAGGGGCGGGGCGAGTTGTGCAGTGAGCCATGTGCAAAACTCGAAGGAGGAGTTCTCAGCTTTGGCTCTTTTCTGGGGTGGTGGGACTCAGTCAGGTGCAGCGCCGTCGGGTCTCTGTACAGACCCCATTTAGGGTGTCAGGGCTGGGGGCTAGGGTGCAGAATGGGGACACAGGAACTGGGCCTTGTACTGGGGCGGCCCCGCCCGGTAGGAGGGAGACACATGTGAACACATGGGGGCATGCAGGCAGGGGCCCGGGTGCTCAGGGCAGGCACTCATGGGCACTGCTCCCTGCACATCCCCCACTTGAAGCAACAGCCTGGTTCAGGCGTGCAGGACAGTGTCCCCCACCCACCCGTCTC